TAGGGCACTAGACTCTGATCCAAAGGTCGCGAGTTCGAGACTCGGATGTTGCACCACTTGGGTCTGGGTATGACTGCCTGACGACAGCTGATAAGCCAGAAACGACCGTTCCAGCCTTCCATGTCTTTGCTGACAGTATTATTAGTAACATAATTTGCCAATTGCGTCCGCACGTTAATTGTTCACCCCGAAACTAGTGAGAGAGTCGCCCTTCTCCCTCTGTGTGTATCCATTTATTTCAAGATCATCTTTTGTTCGGTGAGTTCTCTTCTGGACTTTAAGAGGATTCCTGTTTTTTTCTATTCTGTTACTTTGAGTTCCAAAAGTTGCACTCGTTTCGGTTCAGCCAACTGGATTGTTACTATTCTGTAACGGTTAAGCAGCGTCTACTTCTTTCCCCTCTCACCGTCTACTTTTGGGCTATTTTCAGAAATACTCGATGAAAAGAACGGAGACCTGGTCGAATCAGCCCAGGTTAGTGTCAAAGAACCTCTTATTTTAATGCTTAGCGTTGCGTTTTTTGTCTGCCAGTTTCAGTCCGGTTTGTTTAGTATTTGTCTGCTCGTAGTCGTTCCTTCCAGTTAAAGCTTGACATCCCGACATGATGAACAAGATGGAAATTAGCTTCTTATATTTTAATTTTAAGTTTTATGGTTTGCGATAGCGTTCTAACAGGGACTTCACCGGATGAACACGTACGCCGATAAACTAACTTCGACTGCCTTTTGACAGCGATTGATCCGGAGGTGTTTATTCTGTTCAGAACAGAAACGGAAGGTCAGTTGCCACGACTCACCAATTATTTTGTGAGCTGCTGAGACAGTTCTAATAATATTAACAACAACAACAACAATAACAAAAACAACAACAGCTCAACCCTTAAAAGTGACAGCGTTCCCAGCTGCGCACCCTAATCAGCGTGCGGCATCTATCGCGCCTCACTAACCTTGTTCTGATGGAAAGTGCAAAGCAAAAGAATCGGAGTGGGTCTAACAAAATTATACGACCCTTCTACGCGTGTCACGCACATGACCATTCTTCATTGCATACGTACCAGGTTCCAGTAAGGGTGATTCACATCTCAAGTGTTTAAGGATCCTATAAAACTCACAGCAAGAAGAAATCATTC